TTTTTTAAACACAACTGAAGTCATTAGGAATGGTGATAAGAGCAGCCATTCCTAACCACCCAGTTGAGACTCCAGTCTATTGGTGGGAAGTATCACCTGCTGAAAACCGGGTTCAGCGTCCCTTATACAGAAAAATGTCCAGTGTTACAGCTTGATAAGAGTCAAAAGGATCAAAACCACCTCTTCAGTCCTGATCAGAACGCCATATAGAACATGCACCTCTAGCAGTTCTAATCCTCCTAATGATGATTAATCATTCTTCATTATCTGACCCCCTCCCACCAAACCATTGATTTTCTACTAAAGCTAACTCTGAGGGAGGGAACAGTTCAAAAAAGCATGCAGCATCTCTGAGGAATTCCCCTGGCTGAATATCAAACCAGTCATAAAAATGTAGCAAGTAACTCTTCTTGAGAGGCATCCCAGACTCATTCTCATCAGGCCATACCACATGTCCAATTCCTTGCTCCTGAGAACCCCCTAGCCAGTCCATTGTGAATTTGAGAATAGATTTTTGGATGTCTTGTTCCTGGCATTTGCTTTGATTCTGGAGAAGAAGAATTTAGTCATGGCTTCATTCAGAGTGTAGTCCGTCATCCTGGCACACAATCCATTTTCCTTTTTTCAATAATTCATATTCTGTCTGTAGACAACTATTCCAAGGATGTTGAGAGAATCATGAGAATCAAGGCATTAGAGGTCTGATGCTCCTTTCTCTTGGTGGCCCAATGGTGGGGAGCCACACCTGCCACAAACCTGGTGACTCCAGCATCCCATGAATACATTACAAATGTCGCGCCCGTTTTGTGAGGGCAAAACTCCCCTTTGTCATCTCCTCTTTATACTAAATTCCTTTCAAACAGTGGAGCAGATGTTGAGTTAGATCTTCTTTCTTCTTGGTTAACAGCCTGATTGTGATGTCACTCCCAGGTGCCAGAAGTCCTTGCAAAGCTTGTGCTGAGGGCAATTGGCCCATCCACATTGCCATGCCTGCAGACAGTGGCCTACCATCTTCACCCGATTACAATGTACGGACATGAGACTCAAAGTTGCCGCAAATACAGCTATAATGACCGTACGTTGTATTTGGGTTAAGACGGTAGGACCTTTCCTCAGCTATCGCGGTCTAGGACTGTCCCTCACACAAAGCTTGTTCTCATTACCCGACCATGGTCATTACTCCCTTCAGTCTTCCATTACACGACCAGGAAAAGTGCCTTGCATCAGGAAGTGTGCCTCTTGAAATGAAGATGTCAGCAAATTCAGCAATATCCCTGTAACCTGATTCTTGTGAGCCCTGTTCTTAAAATCTTTGGTTGGGGTCTGCTAAACTATGCTAACGGCTCTCGGCAGAAAGCACAGTCAAGAATCTTGGGACTTCTTGTGTATTTGCAAGCACGCAGAGCCGGTCAGACACCCTTGCCGTGGCTTGGTTGAGGTCTGGGCCGGTGCTGGAAGGCACATGGGTTGAGTAGAGTCTGGGAACACCGGGTCATGGATGTACTCCATGCTGGCGTGGGGTGAAACGTCTCTCAAGGGGCTTCACTTTCATCCCAGCTCACTTTTCCTATTGGTTAAGTGTTCCGCCTCTTTGGTGGAAGGTCATAGGTTTGATTCCCTTTTTTTTTTTTTTTTTTTTTTTTTTAAAAAAAGCCCTTTCACAAGTCCGGCGGTGGTCGGAGAACTCCTGGGATTGAGGACTTGGCCGGTGGGCTGCTCCATCTATTGGTGGGGAGCGGCACGTGCTGGAAACCGGGTCCAGCGTCCTTCAGAAACAGCATTGCAGTGCCATGAGTTGGGGCTATAGCCATTAGTCTTCCTGTCTCAGAGCTACTTTTCCCTTGGGGCTGCGAGTGATGCCCTTCCCTTGATTGAACTCTGTCCTAGGTACCGACCTAGCCCTATCCCTCAAAGGGCCAACTCCCTGATTTTGTCCTATTTTCCCTATCTCTGGTCAGTCTTGTTGCATTCCAGGAATCTGCAGCACTTCCCTGAAAATTCTTTCACCGAGTTAATTTGGAGGTTATGGGGGATATACCTCTTCAGCCTTGAACTAGGCCGCCTCAAGTGATCGTGCAATTGTTAGCATCCTCCCCTTTCACAGTTGAAATATCTGTCATTCTCTTCCCATCGACCCACCTTAAGCCCTACCTCCTTGGAGCATATACACCATAGCTCTTCTCTTCAGTCCGGGGTTTGTTGTGGCTGAATTTTTGTGTTTCCTACTTCCGCTGTTCGTTGTGTTCTGTTTCCGGACTGTCGTCCCTCTGCAGTTGATGCAGCGGCATTGAGTTTTGAACCATGCCGCCAGAAGTGATCGTACGGATGTTAGCATCCCCCCTCCCAGTTGAAAAATCTGTCAATTTCCTCCCATCGAGCCCTTTAGAGTTTAAACCCTTGTAGCACTTAGACCCTAACCCTTCTCTTCAGGCCGAGGCTTGTCTTCTCTTCAGGCTGAGGTTCGTCGTGGCTGAAGCCATGTCATTCCTGCATCCACTGTTCATTGTGTGTCTGTCTCCCGATCGTCGGTCCTCCGCAGTTGTTTCAGCAACTTGCGCAGTCCCGATCGTCGGTCCTCCGCAGTTGTTTCAGCAACTTGCGCAGTCTGAGGTGTTTGGCCCCCGAACGTCTTTTTTCTCTGCTGATTTGTTCTTGTGGCCTGCGTCTCTGTGGGGTCTCATCGGTCCTTCCTCTTGTCCCTGGCAACCCGTGCCGGTGTCGTGATTGTGTGTTGAGCGGTTGGAAAGGGGGGGGGGGGGGGGGGGGGGGGGGGGGGGGGGGGGGGGGGGGGGGGGGGGGGGGGGGGGGGGGGGGGGGGGGGGGGGAGGAAGGGGGGGAAGGGGGGGAAGGGGAGGGGGCAGTGACCACAAACACGGTTGGTATGGTTGGTGTGGCTATGGGGAGGCGGGAGGTTGTTGGATCGGTGGGGCTGGCAGAGCCAGCGTTGGGGTACTGGTGGAAAGGGTGGCTGTGGTTGCAGTTGGGCAGGTGGCACGGGGGTCGGGAGGAGGAAAAAGTTAGGTTGGAGGAAAATATTCTGTTGGGGTCTTGCCAAATCTGTGTGTAGGAGTCTCGAATAGCTTCCTTGGTGGGGGGGTCCTTTTCCACAAGGAAGTCACATTCCTAGTGGGTTGATCTTGGGGCTTCTTGTGTATTTGCAAACAGTCAAGAATCACCCAGCACATGAACACATGTTTGCCCTTCTGCATGGTCGTGCATGTGGCACATGCCAGCTAGACCACTAGTGCTTGGCTAAAGGTGGCGATGCCATGGTGAAGGCACGTTCAGATGCAGCTTAGAGCTGCATGGCGCCAGCACTTACTGAATAGTGCATGCACTTTTCCTAAATAACTGCCATTCGTAATACAATTTTCAGTCTTCTCAATTTTACCAGGAGAGAGTCAGCGAGAAGGATGCGTGAAAACCTCAGCTAGATGTTTTTTCAATTGCCAACGGTCCATAGGATGCATTGCAACAGAGACTATGGAGATTCTGCTGAGGAGCGCTTTAATGTCCGACATTGCTTATGCTCCTGAGACTCTGTGGAGACTCCGGTAAAGGTGATTTTATTTTCTTGTGTTTTTTAGTGGTACTCCACAAACTGCAAGTTTTTCCATCCTGAGTCACTTTGGGCAAAACCCACATGTATGCCTTTGGGTGGATCTTTTCCAGAGAAATGATTGAACTTCAATGGATGTTTAATTTGTTCTCATCAGTGATTTCAAATGGAATTCTTGATATGCGCTGCCAAGGCCTGGGTGGTGCATTGTTTGGCGGTTACTGTAGTTGATGATGTCTTCCACCTGGATGCCCGAGAGGAGGCTGTCTCTTCTTTGTGTGATGGCATGGACAAACAAAGCTGGGGCGACGTTGAACAAATAATCGCTGGCGGAGGCATCTGTGACCTGTCCCTTGCATTGACTTGTCAGTGCTGATTTGCTTTATGACTAGTTGCCTGTGTTGCTGTAATTCTTGCCCATATTTAGGAAACCTTCCTCTCTCAAGGTTGCCCGGACTAGTGCCCCCCCCAGAATAAATAGGGGGGTTTCTCTCTCTGAAAAAAAAAGGAAAAAAAAAAAAAAAGACAAAGATTAGACAGTTTTGCCGGATGATAGTTAGGGACACTGTGAATCTGATGCAGTTTTGTTTGTCCTTACATACAGCTGTTGTACTCTTTTGTGTTGAACTGCTTTCTGAATGCAGAAGAAGATCCTGGGTGCTGTCGCGTCCAATTTCTTGTTTGCTCACTTGTCGGAGAAACAAATAGATGATCTTATCAACTGCATGGAACAAATTTACGTCAAGAGCGGCAATATCATCATTCGCCAGGTGATTGTTATTCCTCCCATATTTTTGTTTGCTTACACCTCTCCTCTCTCAACTGCCGAACAGAACAAAAGAAGAAGAAGAAGAAGAAGAAGAAGAAGAAGAAGAAGAAGAAGAAGAAGAAGAAGAAGAAGGAAGGAGGGGCAGCAGCAGCAGGAGGAGAGGGGGAGGAGGATGTTACCTGCTGCGCCTGCAACAGGCTGCACGGGCCATTTCCAGGCCCGTGACGTTTTCAGGCCAAAAGCCCGAAAACAAGGGCCTACAGGCCCTGTGTCGTTTCAGCCTGAAAGCCTGAAAGTAAGGGCCTACAGGCCCTGTGTCGTTTCAGGCTAAGTCAGGGCCTTTCCGGCCCTGAGTGTTTTCAGCCTGAAACTGAGGGCCATTTCCGGGCCCTCATCAGTTCGACCTGCCCTCAAACTCAGGCAACAAACCAGAGTTTTAGCACAGGCCATTTCGGGCCTGTTTTCAAGACAACCCCTGGTTGAGCTTCAATGCCAGGGTCTGGCACGTTTCGGCATTGGCGAGAGCAGCCTCCTGGACAGGCCAGCACTATATAGGACTGGCCCTCCCTCAGGCAGGCAGGTAGTTCCTAGGTACTTCCCAGGCACTTCACGTGCACTTCAGGAGGCAGGAGGTAGTCTTCAGGATTCGGCAGCAGCACTCTGGAGGAGCGCTGCAGGAGTATTAGTAGCGTTAGCAGTAGTCTTCAGCGCTGGGCGCTAGTAGCGTTAGCAGTAGTCTTCAGCGCTGGGCGCCATAGGAGCTAGTGGTACTAGAGAGAGAGAGATTGGGCGGAGGCCAGGGAGACTTGCCTGGAGCACCATTGCTTCGGCTTCATCTTCGAGGTACCTGCAGCACAGCGCCATCTTCACAGGTTAGTACCTGGCACATGAGAGAGAGAGAGAGAGTTCTTCTTCTTCCTCTTCTCAGTCCACCATCTCCTTCTCACCCTCTCGCTATCTGACTTCACTGCATCAGCAGACTATGAGAGAGAGAGAGCTTGGTGACATTGGGATCCAGACTCGACATTGGACTTCAGACATTTTGACGAGGGATTATTTAGGACTTGTAACGAGACTTGGTGTTGACGACTTTCCCATCTCTCCCCTCCTCTTCTCCGTCTGCTCCCCTCCTCTTCGTCTGTGCATGAACTGGACCTGGCGCCTTCTTCCTGTGTACAGCGCCAGGCCCCTTCACACTTGTGATGAGAATGATGTATGCGGGGTCTGCGTTGAAACGTCGATTGGGCTAGTCATTAGTATTCTAGCATTCTGCTTTGCTATCTTGTACTACGTGAACGAGGTCAGTCCCGGTCAGGTCAGGACTTGTATCTAAATCTTCCACTGCACTATAAAACACCATTTTGTATGTATCAGGATGTACACTGCTTGTTGAGATTCTACTTGCACTGCGTTGTGCATTCAGTCCTTTTTATCACATTGTGGATCCTCGGTTTTACATATACATCGCCCAACTGGGCATGTAACGGTAGGTATCGGAACACCGCACGTGTGCGGGGACTAGGTAGCTGATTAGTCTTGATTGATTGATTAGAGCACACTAGTTAGCCCCCAAAATCACGATTTTGACCTCACTTCCGAAAATCAAAATTTTTTTCTTTTCTTGGATTTTGTTTTCCCGCTATATCTGTTGTGGAAAATTGCAATAGCGCAACATCTGAAATTTCCGTTTTCGTTTTCTTCTGAAAATCCGAAATTTCATTGTTCGAAATCCGGAATATCTTTTTCTCGAAAATTTCGATCTCCTTTTGCGATTTCCTGTTATTTGGAAATTCGGAATAGTTTTTTTTCCGTTACGGGAAATCCCTCTTGCAGTACCATTTTCCAAACTGCGAATACTCTCATCTGAGTAAGTCCGAATACTTGTTATTTCTTTTCGGAAATTTTCTTATTCGCAGTTCTATGATTTTCAGTACCTGATAATAATTGGCAGTCTGAAAGTTCGAATTTTTTTTTCTCAGTGATAATTTCGCACTTCAAGGGAGGTTGCGAGACCTACAGAACTTGCAAAAGTTGGGATTTTTTTTTTTTTTTTCCCGAAATTATTTGCAAAGTTCAATCTTTTCTTTTTTGATTAGTAGCTCCTTATCTGGGCGATTTATCCCCGCCCACCCCTCCCCACCTATGTTGTTGCCCCCTCTGGTCTTACCTTCTCTATCTGTCTCCGGTTACCCCCTGCGGCAGCATTGGTAAGTTGCCACATCAGCAGGCCACATCAGCAGACCATGTCAGCAGACCACGTCAGCAGACCATGTCAGCAGGCCACGTCAGCAGGACATGTCAGCAGCAGGCAGTACCACGTCAGCAGGCCCCCAGCCTGGTCTATGCTTTTGCGCTCGCAAACAGCCGTCATGGACCAGAAGTCCGGGGAAGCGGACGAGGCCTATCAGGCCCGGATGCTGCTTCTGATTACCGAAGCTAAGCAACGGTCGGATGCAGTAGAAGCCGCAGCAAAGCAGATGGCAGAGGACGCCGAGAAGACACGTCTGTTGGCAATTGAACAGCAGCGCCAGCACGACGAGGCAGCAACAAAGGCTGCCGATGAAGAACGAGTTCAACATCGCGAGAAGATATTCAGCGGAGAGCAAGCTTTGCTCACAATGGCAGCGGATTGGCGGGCCGAGGCCGAGAATGGCAAGATGGAAGAGAGTGAAAACAAGATCGCTCTACTCCTCTCCCATCTCACGGACCTCCTGGCAACATGCATTACACAGCAGGAGGACATCCACAGCCTCAACGACGTGCTGTCTCGAGTCCACAACCGTCACCGTCAGCTGGAGCAGCGACCCGTCGCCGCCCCCGATGCCAACTCTTCCAACAACTCTGATCGCCTCGAGGCATTGGAGATTGACGTCGGCTCCCTCAAGGACGGCGTGCAGTCACAACAAACCGCAACACAACAGTTGGAGCAGCGGATCTGTACCGCCGCCAACCACTCGAGCTCGCGCTCCAAAGTTCGATGGGCAGGAGATTTTCTGCGACTCGACGAAGACAGACCTGATTCCATGGTTCCGCAAGTTTGAGCTCACGTTGCAGCTACACTACGTCAAAGAACACAAGCACCACGCGTACTTATAATCCCGGTCGGGGGGCGCGTACCAAGCACGGTTGGACAATCTCTTGTCCAAGTACGGAGTGGTAGCTGCCGACTTGCATACCAAGATCAGCTGAGATGATCTAAAGGCAGCGTGGCATAAGTGGTTCCAAGTAGAGCCGTCGAAGATCAAGGCAATGGACAAGCTGATGGTCTTCGAACAAGGCACGTTGTCGAGTGTTGATTGGATTGCCGAGTACCAACGCTTGACATCCGTCCCAGACATTCAAATAGGCTTCAAAGCCATCAAACACTACATCTCGAGGTCATGTCCGGCGTTGGGCAATGCCTTGACTCACGTCGAGACACCCTAACGGCACCGGCATAACTCTTCGACAAGGCCGCGCAGATTATTGTCACGAACAAGGAGTCCGAGAATCTTCCTCGCTCGTCTGCGCCAGGCCTGTGCAGAGATCAGCATCGACCGAAAGTGGTCGTGGTCGCGGCGGCAACGCCAAACGACCAAAAGGCCGTGTCTGCCAATGAAGGGGACAGACTCGCAGCCGCCCGGGAAGGTGGCCGCTCCGCAAAGGCTGAGGACGCGGCAAGGCGAAGACAAACACCGCATCTAGCCCCGGGCCCGGCGCAACAGCTCCAGCCCCATGGTCCCATTACGGTCTCTCTGAGCAAGCATACAAGGCACACACGGGATTCCACTATTGTCTGTGGTGTAACAACGATTGCCACGACACAATGGCCTGCCAGTCGAAAGGCAATGGCAAATCGGGAAACTGAGCACCGCCGGGAGTGACTCGACAACACTCTCGACGCTTCGGAACCGGTCACTTCGCGGGTGACTGCCCTTCGTTCCGAGGCACATGCAGAAGTCGATAGTCCTCCTCTTCTTTATTATTTTGAGGACTATGCTACCCGACTCGTTCCTACGTTGGGTCCTCATGCTCAAGGACAAGACATGCATGCGGCATCTTCTCCGTCCGGCAACGGCAACTTATCGTCTTCAAGTGATTCTTCACGGGATTCGGCGCGCGAGTTCAACATAGAGGTATTGGACCCGCTCACGTCCGAGGATTTTGCATGGCTCCCTCTCCTGACCACGGGCCGCTTGCCGGGACCACAATGCGTAGCACTATGTGCTCATCTTCACACGTACTTATCCTTCTATGCACCACCAACTTCGCCGACGGATGACGAAGTCGTGGTGGGGGATATCCTTGCCTATGCTACCGAGGTGGCCCGCGAGTTTCGCAATCAGTGGTACGATGACAACAACGCAGCGCTCCTCTATGTCCGCATCCAAGTTGGGCAAGCGTCCTGCAATGCTTTGCTGGATAGCGGCGTGTCTCGCAATTTAATGAGCCAAGCCTTTATGCTAAGGGCTGGCCTTGGGGCACAAGCTTGAAGGAAGGCAAGCCCGACGGCGATCAAGTTGGCGGACGGAAAGACGCAGCAACTTATCGACCGTTACTTCGAGGCCGCACCGGTGTATTTCACACCTCATGCATGCGAACCGGTGACCTTTGACATTTTGGATACGGACTTCGACATTATTTTGGGAATGCCTTGGCTTGCAAGTGTGGATCACATGGTCAACTTCCACCGGTGGACTCTTACCGTTCGCGACGCCTTCGGCGCCGAAGTGTCATGTACTATTCCTCTTCCGCACCCTTCGATTCAGTGCCAAGTGGTGACGGCCAAGTCATTCCGGGCTACTTGTGCTTACGAGCAGCCCGACGAAATCGACCTATGTTTCCTACGGACTGTCGCGGCAGCCGACTCTTCACCCACGGACTTGTCTTCGGACCCCCGTGTGGTGCGGTTGCTTGACGAGTTCGCCGATATCTTTGAATCACCTATCGGTGTGGTGCTAGATCGGCCGATCTCGCACGAGATCATGCTTGAGGCCGGTGCCGTGCTGCCGAAAGGTTGCATTTATCGCATGAGCGAGGAGGAGCTTATGGGCCTCCACGCGCAACTCGATGATTTGTTGGACAAGGGCTGGATCCGCCCTAGTAGCTCTCCATACGGAGCGCCAATTCTCTTCGTACGGAAGAAGAATAAGGATCTACGATTGTGCATTGACTACCGCAAGCTCAACGTGCAAACCGTCAAGAATGTGGGGCCTCTTCCTCGCATTGACGATCTTCTTGAGAGATTGGGTGGCGCAAAGTATTTTTCTAAGTTGGATTTGAAGTCGCGATATCATCAAATCTCGATCCGACTGAACGATTGTTACAAATCTGCATTCAAGACACGGTATGGGCATTTTGAGTGGGTGGTCGTGTCGTTTGGCCTCGTTAACGCCCCGACGACCTTCTTTGGCACAAACAAGACTGGAGCACCGAATGGGGAGGACTTTGGTTTAATCCACCCCTTCTCAAGCAACTCATCCAATTGCTTTCGCAGTTCATCCAACTCTTTTGGAGACATCCTATAGATAGGGCTCTTGGGAATCCGGCTACCGGGTTCTAACTCTATCCGGTGCTTGGTTTCTCTCTCCACCACTCCATTTGGGGCCTCTCCAACGTCAGCGAACTCAACAGGCAACTTTTGCACATTGGGGGGAATAGGTTCTTCCTCTTTCTTACTTTCACTTACCGGGCGCACATATGCAACAGACACTTGGTCGGCGAGGTCATTCTTGACCACATGCCGGGCGAACGCTGGGGCACTCATGCAGCAAAGGGATAGGCTATTATCTACGTCAGATGCATGGTTAATTCAAATTTTCTTCTTTCCACCTATAGGACTAGGCAAACAACACACATGCTCACCCAGTTTCATATCTGCATCGGCGGCTTCGCCCCAATCAGTTCCTATAATCATGTCAAAAGGGAGATTGTCCTCCACTAAGAGTGTCACGGAGTGCAAAACACGTTCCACCTTTCCCCCTGCCTCCAACCGAAATTATGCCCTAACCCCTTCAACATAGCTATCAACCACCATTTCTCTATTATCTGCTAGTTTACTTACGATGGGTTGTTCTAACTTCTGAACCTTAAGCCCTAACCGCAACTTTTGCAAACCTTTCTTATTGATATAGCTGCGTGTTGACCCACTGTCCACTAGTGCGTCAACCCTGACTCCTGTGACCTCTACATCTGCAATTATTAATTGCCCTTTCTTTTTCTTTATTTCGGCCCAAGCGCGACGATAAGTGATCAGTTCATCACCTATGCTTGCAGGGGAACCACCTAGAGAGGGTCTGTCACAAACAACCTCTGGACAGTTAACTAGGTGGGGGTCATTTCTCGTCTCAATCTCTGCCATTGGGACCTCTGGATGGGAGAATGACAGTCTACTTCATCCATAGTCCCTGTAGAAGCAGCTGCAACCTCTACTGGTTGTTCCCTTTTGGGTACCTATATTCAAGACAAAAGGGAACAATGTGGTCGGGGTCACCACATTTGAAACATTGCCCGACAACCTTCCTTTCTTCCTAAACTTTTTCATCTATCCCCATCTGTTCCTACGGTTTGCCTATGGGAATTTCTGGATGGGCTGGATATGGCTGCCCGTAATTACCTGTACCTCTACCCTCTGTGGAGTTGGGACCTCTACCTCCTTGCGAGGGACCATTACCCCTACCTCCCACATAGTAGCTTCCTTCGCCACTACCCCTCTGGGCGACGGGTCCTCTTCCTCCACCATGACCACGGCCTCCTCTTCCTCTACCACGGCCTCTTCCTCCTTTCCGCCCTCCCCCACGGGCTGCAACAGTCGCATAGTACCCTCACTGGGCTAAGTGACCATTGCTTCCTTCTTCTAACCCATAGTCTATCTGGTTATAGGTGAGTGACTCTAACCCTCCTTCTTCGAAGGTGACCAGTAGGTTATCTTTGCCTGCTATATTTCCTGAAATTGTTCAGTCTTTCCATTTCTTGCCAGCCTGCAAGTCTTTCCAGTAATGGCAATACCGTGCCTCTTGCAGGAAGCCACAACGTGATCTACAATGAACTTACTAAACTTCTCGTATGTCATTCCTTCCTCTTTAGTGCAGGGATACAGTTGTGTTTCTAGGGGATCTGAGAGCGCTCTAGTGAAGTTATTTAGGATTTGTGCCGGTGTCAATCCGTGATCTGGGCATTGCAACAGTTCATCCATCATGGCCTTGAGGGCCGACGCACTCTTCCATTTACGGTCACCAATGTTAAGGATCAACGACTCAGTCCTACGGGCCAGGTTCTTATCTTCGAACCTTTCTCTAAAAGCTTTGAAGAAGTCTTTGACCCGTGTCTGTTGAGAATACCGAACCATGGTTGTGCAGCCAGCCTTCATCAAAGAGATAGCGAAACTCATTGCGTCCCCCGCCATGCATGAACTTGCCATTAGCACACAGTCCCAGTACGTAATCTTTTGTGCGTACAGGTATGTATCCATAGCCGCCTCCCAGTGGAAAATGCTTTCTTCTTTCTTTCCCGTATAGGTCCAAGGCAACTTTACCTTCATCTTTTGCCTGGACTCCTCCGCTTCTCCGTCCTTCTCTTTCTTGACACTCTTTCCTTTCCTGTCCCCATCATCTCCACCATCTCCATTATCGCCTCCATCTCCTCTCCTGCCTCCAATCTTCAACTTTCTTACCACGGCAGGGTCGGACAACCTTTTGACGAGGGCTTTATCTAATTGATCAACGTACTCATCGATACGATGATCAAGCTGTTCGGAGGCACTACGCAGGGAATTATTCCATATTCCTTTGAATTCCCCTTGATGCAACTCCATCCGATTCACAGTCCGGTTGAGTGCGGCCAGTTCGTTGCTAGTGTGGAGGAGAGTGTCAGTTAGAAGAGAGAGTCTCTCATCCGTAGCAACCTGTTTTCCTTTTTGCTCTTGCAACAACTTTTGCAACCTCTCCCCCTCCTCTTTCATCCTTTTCTTTTCGTTATACTCCTGTTTTTTTGCCGCCACCATCTTGTTGTTCAATTCTGCCTTCTTCTCCTCCAACAATAGATTTTTCTCCATCTCGTCTACTGCAGAGGCCAATTTAATGATAAAGGCATTTTTTTCCTCCTCCGTCTCTTCCGGAAACTTTGTCCGGTAACCGAACTGCTCAATCCAGTTTTGCGCCTCCTGCTGTAGTATACGGATCGCCCCAGCCTGACTGCTCTCAGCCTTCTCTTCTTGTGGATGGGTTCTCCTCATTTCCAGCCTGTCTCCCTCATCTTCTTCTTCTTCTTCCAATTCCTCCATCATATTTCTCTCCTTCTCCTTCATCTCTTTCTCCATCTTTTCTTTTTCTTCCAACAACTTTTTCTTCACTTCCTCCTCCTTCTTTCTTTTTTTCTCCTCCTTTTCTTTTCTCTTCTCAGCCAGGCGGCGGTCTATCTCTGTTCGTTCCTCAACTGTCTAGGCCTGCGTTGACTTCCCAGACCTTAGCATCATATGAGAGAAGAGGGTTCGTTGGAACCCAAGAGGAAAGAATAAGCGAAGTACGGGTCCCCATAGCACAGACAGGGACATGAGTGTGAACATGGGATAATCGTCCATGATGATCAAAGGCACAGGTACCCACCCTCCACCTCCTCACCACTTAGATCTAACCCCAACTACTAATTACTAACTCCTAAGTGGGTCTGACTGTTGCTGACTGCCGTATACCTTCCCAGAACTGTGTATATATGTTGTTGTTGTTTTTTCACGAGTGGACTGGTTGCTAGACTCAACTATGTCACGAGATTTGGACCAGCCCAGCAGTAGCGACAATAAGATGAGGAAGGTACCAACACCAAGACAGATCAGCAAGCAATACAGGTTTAATGGGGGGATGCACTTCACTCCAATGAACGTTCCGTTGATGAAGCTCCACGACCGCTCCAACGCTCCAACGCAGCAGCAATCAGGTACATAATCACCACTCAATCAGGCCCCTTCTTCCTCAGCCTACTTCTCTACCCCCTTCGCCAGTCTTCTCCCCAATCAATTCACTCTCATATCACCCTTCTCGCTGGCCTTGACCGTTTCCAGCGATGTTCAGTGGATGTAACGAGCAACTGCTCCGATACCAGTTTGCAATGAACCTCTTAGTTCAACACCAGTGAGCGCACATATTCACACCACATGCATGTATGAGATCACGCAAAGTTCACACTGGAGACCAGAGAGATTAAGACCAGGTAGCGCAGCTTATGAATTCCAACAAGTTATTACAAGAGCATAAGAGTTCCAAGTCACCAGCGCTCATCAGCGCATGTCAAAGGTAACCAATAACCGGCATAAGCTCTCAGGTAAGTATCACTTCCACCACTGCTCTTTTCTCTTATGTATCTCCCCTCCTTGCTGGTCTTCTCCCTAGCTATGTCCTCGCTGTGTCTTCTCTCCCTACATGCGTGCACACGCATTAACTTCTACTCAAGAATCTACTCTGAATACACCCACTGATATGCCTACTAACCATTTAAAGTCTACTACTAACACTCAGCACTGGCGCAACTATGGCTGCCCTCTCCCTGCCAGCGCAATCTCTTCCTGTCTCTCTCTCTCGCTCTCTTAGCGCAGCACTCTGGCTTCAGCGCTCTGCCCCTCACTACAGCGCACAAGTGCACCAGCACTTCCACACTTCTTGCGAATGAGCGATCCCCCGAATGGGAGGCTGGCCAGTCCTTTTGTAGTCTTGGATTGCACTTCAACTCGTGCCAGCCTCTGTTACTTGGGACCTGACTGGTTCCGGTACCACATCCCCATGACCTGTCTGCTTTAGAATGTCAAGACCTGGAACCTTCCCGAATTTCCATAGGTCTGCTGCTGCTTGGGCCTTTGAGTCATGACTTCTCGATTTTAGCATATGGTTTTGACTGTGGACTGTGACTCCTGCCTCTGAGACACGATTCTTGCCTATGGGACTGCCCTTTCACTCGTGGGATGCGACTCTTCAATATGACTTTTCATTATGAGACGTGACTTTTGTCCCTGAGATGTGACTGTTTGCTGGGTGCCTGTTGGACTGGACAGCTGAAGTACCCAACCGTGACTTTTCTGAAATTGACTAACTCGGCCTTTCTTCGCCAGGGCCTCTGACCCTGAGACCCGAATTTGGGGTCTGAATCGTGGAAGGCCTTTCAAAGGCGATATAACACCATCTTGAGGCTTACCAAAGTTCTATTTAGTCATAGGGTAGCTGGCGAAACCAGTCGTAATGTCTGCTTTCAACCAGGCTTTAATCCAATTCCTCATCACATGATATGTGTTGTTACATACTTCAATGAGTATGGGCAGAACCAAAGATCAACCAATGTAGGATGAGCATATATGCAGCGAAGTCTGATAAACGGACTGACTCACATCGACTGACTCACATAGATATCACTCCACACACATACAATCGTGAGATGGTGGGGTCTGGGCCAATCATAGACGATGCCCAGACCTCGTACACACATACACAGATGAGAGGTGGGAGGAGAGACGAAGGAGGTGGGAGATGTAGGTAGCACCAAATGTCACCGAGATAGAAAAGAGTAGGTCACCGATATGGTAATCCAAAATGTCCTCGAACAAGATCAAAATGTCGCGGACAATAAGTCACCAATGTTGGAGATACAGAGTCCTAATGTAACCGGTGTCCAATCTGTGATGCAGCCGAGTATCATCCCCAACAATCTCCAAGTCTCGAATCCGGTAAGTACCACAGCCTCTTACCACCGAAGTCCAACTCTGATCTCTGTCCAACTAGTATAAGTCTCCAATCTGAAGAAGAAGAAGAAGAAGAAGAAGAAGAAGAAGAAGAAGAAGAAGATGAAGAAGAAGAAGATGATGATGAAGTCTGAAGAGAAGAAGAAGAAGGAGAAGAAGGAGGGAGCCGAGGAGGAGAGAGAGAGAGAGGGGACTGGCAATGGGAGGGAGGAGAGAAACCTCCGACTCCCAATACCTCAGGCGGCTATGGCCGCCGATAACGCCCAGTCGCCGCTGCTGCTGCTCCGCTCGCTGCTGCTGCGCTAATGCTGCGCTGCGCTGCTCCTCGCTGCTCCTGCGCTAAACTTAGCGCCAGCGCTGATTCGCGCCGTACCATACCGCACCGTAGCGTGCCGGTGGGTCGATAGCCTCAATGAGGCTGGACCGGTACTTTTGTACCGGTGGGCAGAGGCCGGCCTCAATGCTGCGAGGCCTGGCCGTGCCCTGAACCGTCAAGATGGACGGTTCAGCCCCAACCGGCGGGCGGCAGCCTCAAGAGCGCCGCCAGGCCCAAATGGTAATGTCGTTTGGGCCTGCCTGTGGGGTCTGGTCCAAGGTAAGGCCTTTACGGCCTGTAGTACCCCCAAGGTCGGGCCTTTAGGCCCTACTGTGTCCCTCTAACCCTACGTCGGGTCCGGTAGGACCCGTGTGGCGTCGAAGATGTAACACACTCCCCCTCTTAAAAGACCGAGCTACCTGCGAGGGCGGAGTTGTCTGTCCGATACTGGGATGGGTTGGGTGGGACGAGCTGCTGCCTTGGCAAGTCGTGTCTTCTCATAGTTGGCGAAGATAAGGGGTGCAGAAGTCTGCAAGTCTGCACTAGAGATCCACCGAGTGTCGTCAGGCGCACATTGCTTGAATGTGACTTTGTACTGCATTGGCTTGTTGCCATACTTGCGGTGTGTGATGACTCGGTCCACTTCCTGATGTCCGTCCATGGAAGGCGGATCCTGTGATCGACGTCCGGGAAACTCGTCAACTGAAGGTGGCGTGTAGATGGCCAACTTCGATGCGTGGAAGACCCGATGCACTGTAAGGTGCGGAGGAAGGTTGATCACGAAGGAAGGACCTGCGGGGTCATCTCCAACGGCAGAAGTGACTTCCCATGGTCCGAACCATTTCGGAAGGAGTTTGCGCGAAACATCCTGCTCGAGCGCAAATTCCTCGGAGAGGACCCAAATAAGGTCTCCCTCGCGGAAAGGACATGAAAGTCGACGTCGGTTAGCTTGCTGTTGCATGCGGATTTGAGCCTTTTGCATATTCGCTCGGGCTTTGATCAGCAAGTCCCTGTACTTCCGAACGGAAGCGGGAGAGCAAGGGACGTCTATGTTGGCAGCCTGTGGCAAAAGGAGATCAGCGAAGATCCGTGCTTTCTCTCCACCATGATGTAGCTCGAATGGTGTGATGCAGATCGCCGGGTGCACTGAAGTGTTATAGGCGAACTCGATGTCGGGAAGCCGGTCAACCCAATCTTTCTGGTCGGGACGGATGAGCGTACGAAACATCATCTGAGCGGTCTGGTGCGCTCGCTCCGTCTGGCCATCTGTCTGCGGGTGCCGAGCCGAGTTCGGCTTCATAGTCGTACCGGACTCAGCCATGAGGGAAGTCCAAAAGGTCGACATGAAGCGAGTATCTCGGTCGCTCACTATGTCTTCTGGAACACCCTGGTTGGTAATCCAACCGGTGTGCAAGAGTCGTGCGAGCTCGGGTGCTGCAGCATGATACTTGCAAGGAAGGAAGCGAGCATACTTGCTCAAACGGTCAACGACCGTGAGAATACCGTCATGGCCATGGCGATCGCGGGGGAACGGGCCTGTCACGTCCATAGCAATGGATAGGCGAGGTGCCTGAGGAATCGGCAACGGTTTCAGTCCGCCGAAGGGGACTCGAGATCGACCCTTGTTACGGTGGCAAACTGCACATGACTCAACGTACCTCGTGACGTCATGAAGGACGTCGGGCCAGTGAAAACGTTGGCGGAGGCGTGCTAATGTGCGGTTCACGCCAAGGTGTGCCGAAAGTCGTGCGTCGTGGAATTCGCCGAGAAGACGAGTCCGTAAGATGCGATCTTGGGGCACAACTAACAAGTCATTTCCTCTCGTGTGAAGGAGAAGGAACTCGTCGGAAATCCGATAGTGGCTAGCCGGCGGGTGATCCGATGAGAGCTCTGCATATAGCGTAGAGTAAGTCGGATCGGACTTGTAGCCTTTGACGAAATGCGGCTGCAGATCGTCATCGAGGTCGAATGCTGTGGTCACAATGGCACAAAAGTCGGGCCATCGTGAAAGGGCGTCCGCAGCTCAATTGGCAGGACCGGGAATGTGGCACGGGGCAAAATCGAACTGGTCGACGTAATACATCCATCGACCGATCGTGCTTGTGACCGTGTCCTGCGTTTTGTAAAAGGTCAACGGATTGTTGTCCGTATTCCATTTAAAACGCCGACGACCGAGAAGAAAGTGGTGCCACCGTTTGAGAACGGTGACGAACGCGAGTAGCTCTTTCTTCCTAGCGTCGTCGAGAGTGTTGACGAGAGGCACCTTTTGGGAGAAATACTCAACCGGATGCCAACCGTCCTCGTGACACTATTCC